GAAAGATAATGTTAATGATGTCCTGATCGCCCCAAACGATATTCAGTCTGTATTGAGCCAAATAGGGCTCCAAATAGTCGGTCCAATGAAAGTCTCGCATTCGGGTTAAGTTCATGAGCATAACGCCTGAGTTGACGCCCAACCGCTCGACGTACGGGTGTTTCGCGAACCTATAGTACCAACTGCTGGCAAAGTCCTCACTCTCGGGCGACATTGCGGCCATTTGTGTGGAATTCATTCGTTCAAAGATACTCCACATTTGGTCCACTGGTGTCAGGAACAGCACATCGGTGTCCACATAGAGAACCGAATCAATATCTTTTAGTATTGTCTGCAAAGAGGGAAACAATTTCATTATAAAAACGACTCATCGATATCTTATGGCAGCAAATAAGGGTCAAAGAGTGCATTTACCGGAAGGAACAGTCGCTGAGCGGCGCATAATTTAAATAGTCTTCTCCATTCCTCGACATTAACAGTGTTGGGAAACGACACCAAATGGATCTCAAATGATATTCGGCTTAAGATCTCTTTTGGCCACTCATTCAATATCTAAAACAACGGAAACAACAAATGGTTGCATAAAAAACAATGTCACAGATTGTGATCAAATCACATGACATACCGATCGCCCCATTATTTTGCGGTTATATTCGTCGGACATAACAATGAAATGAAGTCTACTTTTGGTCAGAATTGCCGCCGATTTCAATGTAATCAGACTTTGTTTAAGCGTTTCATTCCCGCAAACAGTGATCACAATCTTCATAGTCTTGCTGTCAAAGCCGCCAAACCTATGACACAAACAATGAGACAAAACCATCACTTTCTTCGCGCACATCAATACCTAACGACAGGCCTCTTGTAATGTCGGTCGTCATCGGGGGTGAGATCATTGGTTTCGACGTCCACTTCATTATCACCGTTGAGATCAGCTCTGATTCTGTGGACAGTCTTCTCGGTGTCCGTTTTGGCACCAATTGAGCCATTATTTGGAGCCAATGAGCGGTGAGTGGACTCTTCGGCGGTCCCTTTGATCCACACTTTATTGGCCGACGAATTGGCGGACAGATAGGCGGCGACGGCGACCGGCGATGACTTCTTGGGCGACAGTTTCTCATTGATTACAAAGAGATATACAAATAATATGGAGATTAATAAACACAAGAGTTTGAGACACAGGAAAGGCCTGTAATTGTTGTTGAATACAAAAAATCGCAACAATTTCCTCAAAATCATCGCTTTTTGTATTGAATTGATTGCAAAAAACTCATTGTTTTGTTTCAATTGTTGTTTTTTTTCTCGCATTCAATGAAACTGTGATTTCAAATATGTTGTCAACAAATGAATCCCTTATGACATCACTTACGACAACAACACTATTGCCATAGCATTGTGTTGTCTCCGCACGAGTGGCGCCCCCTCTCTGGCCCTCCCTCTCAATACAGGCTTTGTTTAACCCATTCGTTATGCAATGGCTTTGTTTTGAGCGCTTATTTCAAACATTTCGTGTCATTTTGTTTGAAATACTTTCGCTTTTAATGCTGTTTAAGAACTTATTATAAACTTTTATTTTACAATCAAAACTGTGGCTAAAAATTACAAATTACATAGATATGTATAAACATAATTAACTAGGTTAACTTTCGCATTAACAAAGTGTATAAAACTTTGTATGTATAATTTGATGACAAATATATAACGGGATTAATTTAATTGTCCTATAATTCAATTCAATGTTTATTTTGTGCGTTAATTTGTGTCGAAACGGTTTGAGTGAATACCGAGTTTTTGGTTCAACTGGTCGTCGATTAAGACACCATTTCGTGACAATTGGGAAATGATTTCTTGGTTTGAGTGATTGTTTTCAACAATATTTCTGATGGCAAATATAGACCATTGCATTATATATGGATTCTTGGCGTCTATATTACAACAATCAAGTATTACGGGAATGCCATCCAATTCGCGAACCCAGTCCTGCATTGGCGCACATTTGTAGACCAGATTCCCAATCACTCGGATTAAGTCACGCTTGAAACCAAACACCGGGTTCTGAGACTCGCCATCGTTTTCATCGACTTGTTTTAATTGCGGCATTGATTTGAAATGAGACGAGTCTTTTGTTTTGGAC